CTGGAAGCGCCGCATCAACCAATCAGGAAAGCTGATCTGGGAGCTGACAGCGAGACAGACCCAGCGCTCTGATGACATATGATATTAACGCAAATGAAAAAGGCTGGATGGATGAGGAGATGATGAAAGCGTGGCTGAGGCAGGTGTATGTGAGGAGACCAGGTGGTTTTTTCCACACATCACAATCACTGCATGCCCATCTCACAGCCGATGTGAAAAAAAAAGGTGTATCAAATGAACGCTGTGCTCGCCGTTATCCCGGGGGGTCTGACAAAGGAACTTCAACCGCTCGACATCGGTGTGAACCGGCCGTTCAAAGTAAGGCTGCCAGCGGCGTGGGAGCGATGGATGACCGACGGAGACCACAGTTTCAGGATAAGTGGAAGGCAGCGCCGGGCAAGTTACGCCACCGTTTGCAGATGGATTGTAGATGCTTGGACTAACGTGTCTGCTGGCACTGTTGTTCAAGGTTTCGCAAAAGCCGGCATTATTTCTGAGGAGCCGCGCTGCACGGAAAGTGACTCTGACAGCGAAGAAGGGGAAATTGGCATTTCTGATTTAGCGCAGCTGTTTAATTCAGAAACAGAGGATGATGACTTTGATGGGTTTGATTAATACTTTGTAATAAATACATGAATAAAGCAACAGCAGCCTCTGGGCCGGTCTCCTCCGCGTATACCGCGGTGGCTGGCAGGTGTTTTTTCATCTAAATAATCTAAATCTTGCAGCTATATTTGCTGTGATCAGTGGGAATAAAGTAGTTTTAATATGTTTTTAAGTGAGAAAGGCCACCTGAAAACTTCATAATTGCAGTCAGTTCATCCAGATTATCTATTTCTGTCGGAGGCGCTCAGACCCCGACATACCAGCGGTGCACCGACAGTAGAAATCCCTTCATCAGCAGCCTCTAGGCTGGGCAGCCTCCGGGTTCACGCGGTGGCTGGCAGGTGTTTTTCATCTAAATAATTTAAACTGCAGGCACCAGGATACCGGTAATAAAAGCGAACATATTCCGTCGGCAGGTTTCAGGATTTTAAGTTAATTTAGGAGTGATCACAGCGCTGTGTCAGCTGCGATGTGTCTGTCTCACGGCCAGCTCCCAGGTTTGATTAATACTTTGTAATAAATACATGAATAAAGCACAGTCATACTCAGTTTTGCCCCCGCTGTATTTTTAAATACGCAGTAGAGCTATTTAAAGGTAGTAGAGGACATGTACCTGTATATAAAAAACGCGCCCTATAGTCCGGTGCGCCTTATGTGTGTGTTAAATACAGAAATGGGACACATAACTGAGAGTGCGCCTTTTAGTACGGTGCACCTTATGGTCGTGAAAATACGGTATGAAAGACTGATTTAAGACATTTTAATACCAATTAAGGCCTTGAATTTATATTGAAGAATTAAATATAAATTCCAACGGTATTTGGAAAAAAAAAGTATCTTATTGACAATTCAACTATCTACATGGAGGTTGGAAAGTAAATTGCATAACTTTTTAAGTTGTACAAGTTCATCTCTTTGTTGATGCCCTTTGTTTCCTATATTTGGCATGGAAAGTGTGCATGCCTGTATCATTTCCTGACAAATAAAATCATATGAACTTAAAGCTTTTACTTAATGTAAGCATCATGAAAAGCAACGTCAGGGTATATATACACTTCTGTATAATAAAAGCAGTCAAATTAAAACAGGTTATTCTGTTTTACTTTTAGCCAAAGGTTTAAAGTGTCAAATCTACTTTTTGTTGATTTTGTTAACTAAAGGCTGCCAAGTTCTCACAGGCTTTTAGACATCTTCCTGTAACTAGTAGGGGTGTAAATAATAATCGTTTTGTATTGATGCATCGATCCAACAGCCAAAGATCCGATGCATCGACACCTGCGCAAGAGTGTCGATTCCTGTATTTTTTCTTCCTTCAGTCTATTTCATATTCATTTGCTTCTGGATGTCAACTCTGACTCCCGTGCTGCGGTGGTGATAATCCTACTTGCCTACTTTCAGAATCTATAACACAGAGGCATTATTTTTCGGTGAATAAGATTTTAATAACCCTAGGTGGAGTAAAACTTTGCTACTTCTGTTATTTGCTGTTGTTTCTCAAATATAATGCATAACAATATTACAGCTTTCATTGATTTATTTCAAATTTGAAACATTGTCTAGCCTGTAAGGTAAAAAAAAAAAAAAAAAAAAAAAAAAGTTACCAATCAATAGAATCATATCATGGTGTATTCTTGAGTGTCGAAAATAATCGAATCGTTGGGTCAGGAAATTGATACTGATTCGAATCGACATGATGGGCATGATTTACACCCCTAGTAACTAGAAAAGCTTCCAAGCACCTAAAAACAGTATACAATGCAAACAAGCATGAGTGTGAGGAGGTGTGAAGATATAATCTTAAAGGAGTTGTCAAATGCATTCTGTAAATGTAAATATGCTATAAATCAATAGACAATCCAAAAAGCAATGAAAAGCATTTGACTTCTATTCAAACTCACTACATCAGTTTAGCTAGACTCCAATATGGATAGAATAATTGGCTTCCAATAATTTCTTTCAAAAGTAAATGACGCATTTAGAAAAAAGAAATGTTGGAATAAAACGCTATAAAAAAACTATAGTACTAGAGTTAGGCACAAAGAATCGACTGTTACCGGTTCTATTATTTCAGTTCTCCCAGTTTGGGTTAGATTTTTCGTTTTTGATTCGTAATTTTAGTGCTCATTGGATATGTGTAAATGTTGTAATGAGCATTCCGAAAAGAAGAATGATTCATAGGTTTTATATTTATGTATAGGTTGAAACATTTGACAATAAACAGTATTGTTTACATAAAGTTTCATTCAAAATTTCAGACCATTTAATCCAGTCAGAACTCTGGTTAGCCAGCTCAAATAAAAAGTGCAAACTTTTATGATACTTCCTACCAACGGTTCATTTGATATATTTATCCAATTAAAATAACTTTTAAAGGGATAGTTCAGGATTTTTGACATGAATCTGTATGGCATCCCCATCACCAGTGTCATGCAATCACACTGACTTACCCCTGGCAGCATCCTGTGAGCAGAGTTCTGGTCCAGCTTTGGTCAAGCCGAAAGTAGTCCGGCAGGTTTGCTAGACCCAGCGAAATAAAACGTTTCTCTTTCCAAAACATTATGTGTTCAAAAGAGTGATATTTTTGAATCCCAAAAACATTGTAGTGGAAAAAGTCACACGTCGTTATCTCTTGGTCCTATTTTCTCTCTGTTCGTATCAGTGCGCGCCGTCATTCTGACAGCGAGCTCAACTTTTCCAGCTCATTTCAGTGCTAACTTAGCAGCTGCGTTTACAAGCAACGCCACCGAGCTAGCTTTAGAGCTAACCAAGTTCATTAGACATTTGAGGAGGGCAGGGAAGTCGCTGTTGTTTGTGATGCAGACAGCAGCTGCTGCAACTCCGACATCCTCATCAATGGAAAGGTTCTGTATCCTGCGGCTCCGGCTTCAGCTTCCATCACTTCTCTGTCCACCCTCTCTCTTTCTGCCCGATCTAACTCCATTTGTCGAAGTTCATCGTCAGTGTACTCGGGTTCATAAAGATATCCCTTTGGCTCTAAGTGGAAGTCGATGTTTTCCTCGTCGCTCTCGTAGTCAGACATCTTCCCCAGTAATAAACAATCGCGAATCAACAGGTAGGACCTAGCTATCAGGTCATGGTGTCGCGCGCACTGATGCGAACAGAGAGAAAATAGGACCAAGTGATAACGACGTGTGACTTTTTCCACTACAATGTTTTTGGGATGCAAAAATATCACTCTTTTGAACACATAATGTTTTGGGAAGAGAAACGTTTTATTTCGCTGGGTCTAGCAAACCTGCCGGACTACTTTCGGCTTGACCAAAGCTGGACCAGAACTCTGCTCACAGGATGCTGCCAGGGGTAAGTCAGTGTGATTGCATGACACTGGTGATGGGGATGCCATACAGATTCATGTCAAAAATCCCGAACTATCCCTTTAAGGGGATTTTTCTTTTACTTTAGAAAACAAATATGAATACATCAGTTTGGATAATTAACCATTACAGCTAGTTGACCTATCACATGGATGCAAATATGAAAAAGTTTTTTTCAGGACAGGAAAACAAAAAACTAACATAGATGCTATTAATAATACTTGATTAATTCAACATTTAAACTAAGATTAAAACATAAAATCTAAAATTGATGATTGAATATTTACCAAAACCTAAACCACGAGATGCTGCTTCCCCCCAGGTTATCTGTTCATCCCCGTAAACAAACTATGTTCCTGTTTTTTTATTTAATGTTTAATGGAAAACTACTAAATATCTTCAGGCATTTTGTAATTTAGCACAAAAAACAGTCAAGCGCCTAAACCAGCGTGGCATGTAAAAAAACGGCCAATCGGATAAACAGAAACTTCTAGAAGTAGGACGGATCGATATTCAATTGAAAGTTGAACTGATCCGCAGCATAATAATATACAGAGTGATATGAATTAACAAGATAAAGATGCCATGAAAAGTAAAGTCGTGGAAACTCCTAACGTTAAACTGCGGACTTGCTAACCTCAGTCTTAGATAAATGTTTCAGAACATAATGAGATACAACATTGAGTTCTCATAACTACTGCAAAAATTTCTGAATATTTACACTATTTAACCAGCCGGTAATAAATAGGAGCCAACAGTAAGAGGGTTATTGTTAGTAGATAACTACTGTGGCTAGTGATAGCAATTAGCTTGATTTTCTTAACCGTAAAAGAGACGCGCTTCGTCTCTGAAAACCGCGTTATGGAGGCCGGATAAGAGTAATAACATTACAAATACGTTAACTAGTTCACAACATTGTCGACGGTAACAAATAGGACAAATTATCATCACAACATATACACTGGATGCGGCAAGGTTTTACACCGAGGCCGAGCTCAGCCTTAAAGCGTTTAACGTTTTAGAAAAAAGGGAAAAAAAGACAATTATTACGATACAAAC